ACTGGTAAAGCAAAATAATTGATAATCCTGTATGGCTTTTTTTGTTTCATTATGTAGATATGTAAAACATCTCCATGGTTTCATATGTGGTTTACACAAATAGTTTGGAGTTGGGGGTTATATATTAGTATGTTATCATGTACCTTGTGTTTAACGAATGTTGCTTACAGTTGTAGGAAATAGTAATCTGTATTTTGACAGTGATTTTAAAAAATCCTTTTTTGTTCTTCAAACATCTTCTCTTGTTCATCTTGCAAAATCAAGTTTAGTTTACTCATCAGTACTTGTCAGAGTAAAAGGGAAAGGAATGTATAAGGAGTTTTTTTCTTGGTGTATTAGCTGTTGTGTTTAAATGATCAGTTAGAGGAAGAATATTTATTTCAGCAAAATGCAACATCTTTCCATTTAGCTTACGTAGTGGTATAATGGCATCTGCTTCTGTTACTGTGAGAATGACTTCTTCATGAAATAAGTTGGGGGGGGTGTTGGTTTTTTGTTTATTGCTTGGTTTGTGTTTGTTTTTTTGAGATGATAAACTTGCATATAAATCATGGTTTAGTTAGCATGACAGGTCAGGCCCAGGAAGATGTGCTGTTGCGCCAGGGGAGGTTTAGATTGGATATTAGGAGAAATTTATTCAGTGAAAGAGTGGTCAAGCATTGGAACAGGCTGCCCAGGGAAGTGGTGAAATCACCATCACTGAAGGTGTTGAAAAAATGTGTAGACGTGGCACTTTGGGACATGGTTTAGTGGGCATGGTGGTGTTGGGTTGGCGGTTGGCCTTGATGACCTTAGAGGTCTTTTCCAACCTTAATGATTCTGTGATCTATACATTAGATGTTTTAAGAGCAGTAGTGCAGTAGAGAAAATATACCTAAATGTTATTTTCTGACCTTTTTCTGGGTGAAAGTTGTACAGTTAAGTTCTGTAAAAATAATTTCAAACAATTTAAGTTTTAAATTAGGTGAAATTTAAGCTGTGCAGTAGCAGTCATCCTTCAAAGGTTTTTTTTGTGTGTGGTTTTTTAATTATTATTAATTTATTCTTATTGACGGGTATGTGGACATTTGTAATAAATGGCAGCTGCATTTGGTTTATGCTAGGCAAAAGGGAAATAAAAATTGAAGGGAAAAATTGGAAACTAAAATAAGGATAAAATCGCAGAAGTAATAAGAAGGGGAAATAAAGTACACTTTGTTAAAATGACATTAAAAGGGAGGAAAGTGTTGCAGAAATAGAGGAATATGATGCAAGAAATACATGCTGTTAATTTAAGAGAATTGCATTTGTTTATAGATGAGACGCAGTAACTCCTATTTATAAAGATTGATTATACCGGTGACTGGCAAACACTGGCTTAGAAGAAAAAGTATTTTAAGAAAAATGCTTTCAGTTTTCTAAGTTAACCACTAAACCTTAGACTTTTAATTCATAGGTCATAGGACCATTTTGCTTAAGTCTGTGGGGTAGAGAATTGTCATTAAATGTTAGTTTAAGAACAAAGGCAGACTGATTTTTGTGGAATCAGGAATGACATGTCAGGATTCCTAAAAACATCAATGGTAAATGTTTTGGGGTTTTTTTAAGAGGCACTTCACAGTAGTCCCATCAAGTATGATTTCTTAGAGAATGTTGTGAGCACTTTTAAGAAGCTTCTGAACTTAACTGGTGAATTCAGTTAAACTTTGAAGTCAAGATAAATTATTTTGAGAGCATAACTTTTATAAAGTCTCTTCTGCCGCCTGCCTCAAAAAAATTCTGGTATGGGAGTCCTCTTAGTGGTTGAAGAAGACTATGAGTCTTTGTGGTGTCAAACCACCATTTCCTTATTAGTTCAGAGGAGGCCCATACCCACCTGAAATACTGCAAATATACTGTTTGTACAGACCCGTCAGCTCTTGGTGCCTGAGTATAGGGAAGTACTTTGAGTGTAAAAGGCGCTTAGCCTTTCTACTTTCTTTTCTTTTCTAAACAAGGCTTCAGTTCAGAGCAGGTGCGGTGCTGAAGCTGTTGAAAGCATTCTGCTTTTACTTTCGTGTCTTGAGATGTGTCAGAATTACCACATCCTCCTGCTGCAGTGGTAGTGACTGTATCTGATTTTTAGCTGTTGTGCAAAGGCAAAACAGTGTCTGTTGCCAGACTGAGACATACTTTGTTCTCTTCTACTGTTGTTTACAGTTAGTTACCTCTTCTGCATTGTAATCCCTTCTTTCTGCCTACTTGATCTTGATACCTTTCCATATATAAAACAAATACTTACTGTATGCTTGTAGTTAATGCTGCTAACCTGCAGCCATGATTACTGATGAATTAAGATTGAAACCTGCTCACAGTCATTTACTTCAGAACTTCTTCAAGCTAATTAATTTTGGCTTAAATGGAGGAGAGGGGTTGCTTTTATTCTCAATGTATTTGTTTCGGAAAAATGTACCAGAATAAACACGCTTGATTCAAGTGTTTAATTGAAAGAGTAACCTATGTATCAATTAGAAATATTATCCTTTCTTATTTCAAACATCACCACAGCAATTATGTTTGAAAGTTGGTTCAGCCGTTTCATGTTTCTGAAAAAGAACGAAGTGCTGAATAAATTCTAGCAGTATTAAGAAGCTTTTGGTCAAATAAGTTCGGAGTATCAAAGCTTTGTAAAAATTGACTTCTTGATGAATTACACAGCACTATAGTCTTTCACTGTTTTAGTAACTGTTTCCAAAGCTTTAAACTCCAGGTTCTGAGTAGTAAAGAAAAACATTTTATTTAAAAATCAAAAACCTGACCAAACAAAACCCAAATACAAACCAACAAAACCCAACAGTACTAACTGATGTAACTTTTGCCTACAAGCTTCCTATTTAACTTCTGGCTCCTTAAGTTCATGCGTGGAATCGTCCTTTGAGAAGCACAGTGGTGGAAGTTCGGGTCATCCCACATAGTGTTTTGAATAACATCTGAGTGGAGTGCAGAAAATACTTAGTACTGATAATCACTTAGTATACACATTTGTGGTTTGTATTTGTGTTTAGTGTATATAACTTGGAGCCAGTTGGTTTTTTGGGGATTTTTTTTTCTATACCCACTTAGTGCTCTCTTCTTTATTTTCACAGACAAATGCAGGAAATGAACCAGACATGGAAGATGAACAAGTTTGCTGTGAAGCATTGGAGGTGATGACCCTGTGTTTTGCTTTGATTCCAACAGCACTGGATGCACTCAGTAAAGAAAAGGCATGGCAGACGTTTATCATTGATTTGCTATTGCATTGTCACAGCAAGTAAGTTTTGGTGGTGTTTGTTTTTTTAAAATCACATATGTTATTTTTCAATTCAAAATTAATATAAAGCCTAAACACAGAACAGTGACTTCTTATTTAAGTGATTGTTTTCCTGCGGTTATCTTAATTTATTGTTCAGCAATATAAATCTGTAATTTGGATACCTATCTTGAAGTGGTAGCTGTATCAGTCACATCATCTTTGTACTCAGGAGGAGGATATTGTCAAGCCAGATGGATGCCTGGTAAAGTGTTACTAATGGCTTTAGAACGGTTTATTTAGAATAACGTAATAGATACTTCGTGTTTTTCCAAAATTATGTGAATACTTGCTACCTTAGGATATTTAAGTGACTTAGGTATAGAAGAACTTTCCTGTACTTTTCCTGGTAAGTAAAGACCAGATACAGTACAAGCGTTTTCAGGAGAGGTGGAAGTTAAGATTTAATCCTCTTGTTTTCTTGCATTGGAGTGGTGCACTTGCGACTCTTCATGTGACACATGTTTTACATAGAGATGTCGCACTGGAGCTGTCACCTGTGCAGTAGCAGCATCTTGGAGGAACCCTTAGCACTGTTCAGGGATGGATGGACAGGGAAAACCAGCAGGAGCTGCCAGGAGTGATGTGACTCAGTTGCCATGCCGTCCTGCCATAGAGTTCAGGGATCTCTTGTTATCTCCAAGCTATTCCTACAGATCTCCTTAGACAGCATCTGCACAATACAGCATCTGTATGATGCGTGTCTTGTGACTTTTAGTCCATCTGGAATTATGATGTGATGTGTTGAGGTGTGTATTTTTAGAAGCCATCCAGGTGGAAAATTTTTTGTATGTTGTTACTAAACTTAGTTGCCAGTGCTTTGGATTGTTACTGAAGATGTAATTCTAGTTTTGTAAGATACCTCTGCTGTTGTTCCTTGAGTATTTTACCTTTTCATTGAGAGATCAGAAATTACTGAAGTTGTCTCAGCCTTTCAGTGTATTTTAAATGGAGTCAGACTGTGGCACTCTCAGATGAATAGGGTCAGAATTTAAGCACCATGTTTTGGGTTTTTTACTCTTCTAGATAAAACAGGTTAAAAAGTCTTTATATTTAGGAATATTCACTGTAACAAAAGGATCAATAGTATCGTCAGAGTATCTCTTTACAATGAACTATTTGCACCCATTGGTGAAACTGTGGAGTCTTATCAGAATCCCACAAACTTTGTTAGTTTGCAACCCGTAGTATAGGATGTTGAATTTTCAGTTTCACTGAAGCTTGTTACAATCACTTAAGAGAACTTCAACAAAACATGCTGACAAATGTATGTTGTAATTTTACACATTAAATGAAACAAGCGCGCTCTTGCTATTTTTGGTAACTTTCAAGGCTGATGAACTGTCAGCAGTTGATACCAAGTTACTATTTTGACAAAAAATGTGCATTGGCCACATGTCAGATTTGGAGTACCAGTACAGCTGAATAGCATGGGCAAGTGTCTGTGCTGCCCCATCCTTTGTTTTTTTCACAGAATCATTAAGGTTGGAAAAGACCTATAAGATCATCAAGTCCAACCACTAACCCAACAACACCATGCCAATTAAACCATATCCTGAAGTGCCACATCTAATGTGGGTCTGAAGATTTATCAGATTTGTGGCTTTTTTGGATGATCTTAGTTGCACAAATATAAGTAATGGGAGATAATTTTTATAATGAATTTCAGTGTAGTTATCTGACTTTCTGGCATTGCATTTGGAATTTAAGTGACATTTATCAAGTGTTCACCAGCATTTGTCTTTATTTCAGTTAGTGTTTGGTATCAACACTTTCTACCACACTTTTTCAGTCCTGAAAACTGCAGATGCTCTTTGTGAGGATTTTTCTGTTCTGATGATATTTCCTTAAGGAAGTAAACTGTTGGTTCAAATCAGGAACTTCTAAATCTATGTTTTAAACAGTTTAGTCTCTGAATTTCATTGTGCATGTTCTATCTAACACAGTTTGTGATGGAGGTAGAATACCTTCTTAGCCAAACCTACAGTCTTGGTTTACAGATGGGAGTATCTGTCATGGTTTTTCCAGTCTCTTCCATTGGTTACTCTTCGTGATGATTTGAGCTTTGTTGACTGAATTTGAATCCCAACTGTTTCATATTGTTATGCCTAGTGAATAGTTGACTGTTGTACTTTTCTTCCTAAAATATTGAAAGAAACTAAGATGTGTTCCCCAAGTTAGGGCTTCTCTTTCAACATGTTTTGTTGGCATGTCAGCCCAAATCTGAACAGCAGCGGCTTAATTCCCCAGGTATGTTAGCTTTTTGCCCTTTAAAAATATGAGTAGCATTAATGGGTAGGGTTTGTTTGGTTTTTTTGTCAGAGGGGATAAAATTTTTAAGGGCTTCATTTATCCAAGTGGACTGCTGCTCAGCTGCTTATCTCTACTTTATTTCTCCATCAGATACTGCCAGTACAAGAAGCTAACTGTTGAGCTCTTTTCTCTCATATGCTTGTAAAACTTCTGATATAGATGATAATTTCACTTGGAATGCAACTGCTTATTATTACATGATAGTTAGATTAGAAACAGAAAACTACTTTGAAAATGAAGATGGTGAAGTTGAACTAAGCTTAAAAAAAACAGTTCCTCTTCTAAATTAATGTGGAAACAAATTAGTTTGCAGTACAGAGAAAGTTTAGCAAATACCAGACAGAATTCTGAATATCCTTCCGTTTTCAGCTATTGTTCTCTAACCTCCTATCCTCAATCAGAGAACAATGTGAGCAAAAATATGCATGTGAGAAAATGTTTTTGGTGCACCATAAAAGACAAGGAAGATGATCAAGTTCAGATCTCACAAATATGATCTTTCTGGAGAAGATCAAATGGATTGGTGGGTTTTGTTTGTTTCTTTCACAGATTGAGATGGTATGGAACTTCTGCTGTTTCCTCATAGCATAACCATGCTACCAATAAATTGAGAAACAGAATGCAAAATGTTTAATAATAAATACTAGAGCAGTTCTTACTCTCTAAGGTAATTCATTTTATAGTGGTGACCCTTGAATACAAGACTGGCTTAGTCAACAGTAGATAGCTGAAGTTAGTCCTAAATGATCCTGGAACCCAGAAGTATTCCACTGATGGCTGCAAAGTGTTTCATGGTCATACATATGTGGTGAGAATAAAAATTCTTACTGCCTTTGTAAAGAAATGGCACTTACACCCATTAAAGAGGCTGACTTTGTTAACTAAACAGAAATCTATATCCTGGAGCTATCCATAGGAGGGGATTCAGGTTGCCTTCCTTAATGGCCTCCAGCTGTTTCACTAGGTGAGTGTGAGTTCATCATGCAACTTGTGTCCTATCTGCCAGCTCTGTGCTGTTGTCGTGGTGTCAAACATGGCACTAGACGCCTGTGTTCAGGCTGCTGCACCCCTCCCATGGTTCCTTAAGAGCTCTTGGATTGTTACAGCCTCACAAAAATGTAATACTTGTGTTCAAATACTGCATACTCCTTTGAGACATAACAGTGTGAAGCATGTGTTTCCTTGGTCACACTTCTCACTTTAGGAAAATACCACCCTTATCTATTTCATTCTGCCTTTATGTGCATGAACCCGAGGAATATCTGTGTGATGTGTCCCAAGCAGTTGAAGAGTTGCATCTTACAAGAAATTTCTGTGAGAAGTTTTATGAAAACAGCAGCTCAGCAATCACATCCCATAAAATGTCAATTATTAAGAACAAACAGACCCCCTCCACCCCACAGTCTTCTGAAACTCAAAGCAATGTACTTTGAGAACTTGCAAAGATCAGAGAAGAGTGACAAGGGAGATCAAAGCACTGAAATGACTTCCATCTGAGGAACAGCTGAATAGCTTCGGGCACTTCGCATTGTAGAAGAGATAAATGGTGGGAGGAGAATACCACAGAGACCTTTAAAATCAAAAGTAGCAAAGGGAGAATAGAGAACAGTGTTTCTTTGTATAAGAACTTCTTGAGCATAACATTTAAGCAGTGTAAACCTTCAGTTTGGAAAAAGTTTTTGAGGGGTTATTTCATGATTTTGTCCAGTGAGGGCTATGAAATACTGCTTTTGGTAATCTTCCTGAACCACATATTGTTAGAAGCTGTGAGAACATTCTGGAGAACGGTCACTGCATGCTTCCCTCTCTTGTGCTCTTTCCTAAGTGTATTCGAGAGATGGGGTGCCTCAGCTAGGTGCATCTTTGCTCTGCCCTCATGGTCATTCTTGCATGTCTTGCAAGCAAGAATGGAAGAAGCATATGGAAGAGCTCTGAAGGAGATAGGATTCTTTTGTGTGCTTTCCACAGTGACCTCATGAGCAGAAAACAATGACAAGCACACCAAAAAGGCACTGTAAAATTCAGTTTCTTGTATGTTGAGATACTTTCATAAAGCACAGCATTCATTTGTATTCTTTCCCCACCCAAGCAGAGTTGTTTCTAACAGTTTTTACAAGATACAATGCTCAGACAGTCTTAACAACTTGAAAGAATAGGGTTTGCCTTAGGGTTTTTTTTTCCTTAAGCTTATCCATTCTCACATTATTCCCGTGATTAGATTAAGTTCTTATATGGAAAATTTCCTTTAATTCTAGCGACTTGAATTTTCAGGGGGTTGTCTTTTCTCATTTCTTACTAATGATAATTTTTGATCACTTCATAGATGCTCAGCAAACTGCTGTAGTGATACATAAGAGCAGTTTTACGAGGGTGGTTCTATTTTGTCTTTCAGGCACAACTGGTGCTTGATTAGAAAAAAAAAAAAAGGATTGCGAATTGTTTGTTGTGTTATGCAATATTTGCTGACAGTTGCAAAGGTTTAATGGTTAGGTGCTAATAACTTTCTTTTACCTTTAAATATTGGATTTGTGAAACAGGTTTTGTAATAGTAATTCATGTGTCTAAAATTCCACTACAACGAGAAACAATGTGATGGGTACTTGAATAATTAAAGTATTCACATTTATTACATTACATACGGCTTTAGAAGGTGGCATTAAGCACATAAGCACAAATTTAATTGTTTTTCTTAATGTCCTGTTTGGATTGGGAATTTGTATTTAATGTTTCTATTAAATGATTTCCAGAACTGTTCGTCAGATGGCACAGGAGCAGTTCTTTTTAATGGCTACCAGGTGTTGCATGGGACAGAGACCTCTCCTTTTCTTCATTACCCTGCTGTTTACTGTTCTAGGGGTAAGTTTTTAGATGTAAAGGCTTCAATACAATGTGAATTTCTGTAAAAAGCAGTAAGACAAAATATCTGCAAGAAAAGGCAAACTGCTATTAAGAGTCACTGAAGTATAGATTCCTTTTGGCCTATAGGCAAGCAACACAGTCAATTTCAAATTGAGTTAGATTAGGGGGACAAAGGGACTTTTTTGCATTTTCTGACAAGAACATGAACAGTAAGCTTTAGTATATGCATTTGATCTTCAGTGAATGCTAACCTTCAAGTAAAAATAGTTGGCAGATTAGATCAATACCTGCAGTTATTGCCGCCTTTTACTGGGCGTGCCAGGGCTTTTCAATTCTGCATGCTCATGGTTCTCTTGAACATCTGATCACTTCACTGTTTCTTTTCCATTTAGGTATAGAAATTGCTACTGTAATAGTCCAGAAGTCATTCATTAACAGCTAAATAGAATTGTAAACTTCTAAAAGGTTAAAAATATCTTACACTTCTTTCATATTTACTGCCAGTTTTAGGGAAAATATGTTAGTGTTGCACTATAAGTGGAAGCGTGTGTGTGTGTATTATGTATCATTTGTTTTTGGTTTATGTAGAGTACTGCAAGAGAGCGAGCTAAGCATTCTGGAGACTACTTCACTCTCTTAAGGCATCTTCTTAACTATGCTTACAACAGTAATATTAATGTACCCAATGCTGAAGTTCTTCTCAATAATGAAATTGACTGGCTTAAGAGGATTAGGGTAAGTTTTAGGATCATTTTATTTCTGATAATTGGCTTTTTGCTGCTTTGTTGTAAAGTACATTTTTAAGCTTGGAAATGCATATTATTTAGAGTATCCTAACTTTCTCTTAAATGGCAGGATGAAGTAAAAAGAACAGGGGAAACAGGTGTTGAAGAAACTATCTTAGAAGGTCACCTTGGAGTAACAAAAGAGTTGTTAGCATTCCAGACGCCTGAGAAGAAATACCATATTGGTTGTGAAAAAGGAGGTGCTAATCTCATTAAAGTAAGTTCAAGTTTTCTGGCCTATGGAGTTTTTTAATTTATTTTTTTAAACTGTAAATAGGTAAATAGAAGCTTTGCATATTGTGGTCTGTAACCACAGAAGGTCCCAATTTGACTTTTTGACAAGGACTTCTATCTGGAGTTTAATGTTTTCTTTAAAGCTAATTTTTTTTTAAAAAAAATACATGTTTCATTAATAAGAGAACTTAGCATTCTCATTCTTCAGAACCGCTGCATACGGAGTTGCTGTGATCTAGTGAGCTGTTCTTCCAAAGCTTGGCAAACATCACACAAGGATAGTGAGCTAGATACAGGATAGTCCTGTACAGGACTGCTTTCTTTCATTACCCCTGTATTGTCTTTTCTCCACATGTTCTTTATTAGTCCTATTAACGTTTATGGCAGGTTTGAAAAAATGCATGACATCTGAGTGTCTCTTTAATCAGATGTGTTTTCTTTGTACCTTTGATATTGTAGAGCAGCAGTGTTGGTTTTTTTCAGCACTAGTTGATAAAGAGCTTTGTAGATAATACTGGTTTGGCAAAAGAACATTTTTACCAATCAATAATAATACAGATTTATTTTTAACTTGCAGTGTGGGGGTGGGTTTGCTGGGAACCACTTTAGGAGGGAGTTACTCTGTTCTAAATCTAAAAGCTCGTTACGGTGTTGGTCTCAATTTTAACTCTTGAGTATTTTAAGTACCCCTCTGGTTCTCAGATGTTCATTTATATAATAACGCTTATTCTGTTATGCAATAGTGTGCATTTCTATGGTAACAGGTGGTTTATTTTCTTTTGGTTTTTTTTTCAGGAGTTGATAGATGATTTCATCTTTCCGGCATCCAATGTTTATCTACAATACATGAGAAATGGAGAATTGCCTGCTGAGCAGGCCATACCAGTCTGTAGTTCACCAGCTACTATTAATGCTGGCTTTGAGCTACTAGTTGCACTAGCAGTTGGATGTGTCCGAAATCTGAAACAGATAGTAGACACCTTGACTGAAATGTATTACATAGGTACAGCAATCACTAGTATGTAATATTTTTAATTATCTCTTTCCTACTTTTTAATGTATATGTTACATATAGGTTTTGTTTATATTACCAGCTTAACTAGGTGCTGCGTTTTTTAGTTTGTGGTTGGTTTGTGCTGCTTCTAATGTTGCAAAATTAGGCTGTCTAAATTTATAAGTGTTTGTTAGTGTAGCCTTTACCTGTTTTTCTTTATGCAGTAAATGTACTCACCTGCATTACATGGTTGCATCCAAGTTCCAGCCCCAGTCGTTTACACAGTCTGACCGTTTCTACTGTGATCTCTGGCTACTCCCATTTGTCCCTACCAGCTTCCAGGAACCTCATTCTGTCTGTATCTTCTACTTTTGTCTCATCGTTTCAGGCTCTTCCTAACCAATCCTAGAAGCTCGTCATGTATCTTCAGCTTAGTTTTAGTGCCAGTCTTTTGATTGCTCACCTAATTTGTCATCATTGTCCACACAAGGTCCACTCTCCTGTTTCCCTTCTTAGATCTGTACTCACTCTCCGCTTGTCACAGTCCTTTCTCAAGCATTTGTTCTCGGTTTTTGGCCTTGTCTCAGCACAGCTCTGCACTTAAAGAATTTTCTTCTCACTGGAGAAAGATTATAGCAATTGCAGGATGTACAAAAATTTAGAAATATTAGTGTTTCAAAAGCCAATAGTCAAATGAAACGGGCTAATTTTCACATGGATGGCAAAAGGCATGTACTTAACACAAATTTTGTTATCAATAAAAAGCATGTAAGACTTTCTTAAAAATTAACAGGAACATAATTTCTGCATCCCTAAATGGGAGACCTAAGCCATTTTGGCTATAATATTAACAGGGAAAGAAAGGGGTAGGGGAGAAGGGAGTGACACACACCAAACTTGAGCTGATGTGGGAAGAAAGGCTGAGAGAGTTGGAGTTGTTCAGCCTGGAGAAGGGAAGGCTCCGGGGAGACCTTATTGTGGCTTTTCAATATATAAAGGGTGCTTATAAGAAAGATGGGGACAGACTTTTTACCAGGGCCAGTAATGACAGGACAAGGGGCAACGATTTTAAACTAAGAGAGGGTAGATTTAGATTTAACATAAGGAAGAAATGTTTTACAATACACATGTTAAGACACTGGAACGGGTTTCCTAGAGAAGTTGTGGATGCCCCATC